ATTTCTAGGTACTCTTGACTCTGCCCCTGAAGTCAGTTAGAGGCTTCAAACATTTGTATGATTCCCCTTCCTTCATAGCAATTGTAAAAGTGTTAAGAAGGAATGTATAAATGAATAAACACTAAACTCTGCCTATGTGTAGTGATTAGCTACACTCACTAGGTGTAGTGATTAGTGGTTCCTATATGAATTTGTGCTTGTACTTTTGCTCTAAGAACACCTCTTATCCCATTTTCAATAATAATAAATTTTGAAGCAATAAAAGACATACTATATAGATCTTTATATTTTTCTGATGATGTAGTATAATAATATCCAGTCTTCAAGATCTTAACATGCTAAAACAATACAGTTGTGATGTTTTCATGTCCCTTTTATTTGATAATCATGGCTGCATAGAATAATGCAGAATAAAGGCATGTTCCTGTTTTAAAAAAATTTTTAAGTGATTTGTTTGGCAGTTTTGAGTTTTTCACAATTTTGAGCTTTTTAAGTAGAAATCTTTTATTGTCTTAGCAATTAGTTTCTTACCTTGTCTATTCAGAGATTAAAATCAAGCTCTAAATAACAAATAGTTTTTTGATATCTGGAGCTAACTAGTTTCCAGAAAAAGAAAATGGAAGCTCACAGAATATCTGGAAAGACCATGCAATATCTGGCACAACAATGTGGTATACACTGCAGGAAAGGAAAATCTTATTAAAGATTTTGAATTAAAGTGTGATCTTAAAGTCAAAGAAAAACCCAAAGACATAAGCTTAAAATGTACGAGAAGAATTTGAATAAAAAGTGCAAATCTTTATGTTATAAAGGTACTTTTTCAGTACTTTATACAGCACCTTACTTATTTGACTTCAGTTATTTTCACTTGACGCTAGGCGACACTAGTGCACAGATGAATGTTTATTCACATGCTACAATAACTTGCATTATGCTCATTCCTCTTGCATCATGCAAGTTAAAACTGGAGAATCAAAAAAAAAACAAAAACCTACAGACCTACTGATAATTCCTAATACTTAGCTTGAGGTAGTTCATATATCCAACTTTATGTTGTGCAAAATCACATTGTGATTTTACTGATCTTATGCATTGCTATTTCAGAGCTGATCTTTGGTTTATGAAATACTAACATAGAGGGTGGAAACCCACTAAGGTTTCTGCTTTTACAAAAATCCTGGTGGACTATCCCAAAGATGCTTTTTCCAAAAGGCAACTGGATTTTCTTGGGTTTTTTTCTTGAAAGCATTTCTTCAGTTCTAACTGAAGTTAGAACTGAAATTAGAACTGGAGAAACTTCTTGGATGAGAAGTAAAACATTTTCAAAGAAAAACTAAGAATGTCCAGTTGTCCTTTGGAAAAAGTATCTTTGGTGTACAACCATGACCTACATTGAGAATCTCCATAGACACTCCTTGTGGACTCATTTTTTCTAATATAAAGAACTCTTGTATATGTGTAATGAATTCCTAATGAACTGAGAGCATGCCTAAGAATTTTATGCAAATTTTATCTCACATTTTGTGCAAATAAAATATTAGGCTATTGCCCTGCTTAAATCGCCAATTGATGTAAAAGATGTCCAACCCTCAACTACAGCTGCACACTGTAGGGGACAATCAGTAGTAGTGAGCAAGCTACAACATCATCGCTTATCTTTTTTGTTGCTATGTATGGAATGCCAGGGCTCCTTAGAAAGTCTTTGCCCACAATATGTCCTACATAATTTTGTTGTCCTCTTAAGACGTCACCATAAATTTGACATCTAAGAACTTTTGTTTACCGTTCAACTTCGTGGAGAGTAAAAAAGATCCCTTGCATTCTAAGGAGCCCTTGCATTCCATACCCTAACGATCTTCAATACCATAACAATCTGGCATGCCATACCATAATGGTCTTCAATACTATAACAATCTAAAGGCATCTTTCCTAGCATGGCTATTTGCTTCCCAGAAGCTTAGTAGTATAGGGAGATATTTTTCTTTTTTTAGTTTTTCATTGTAGCTCTGTGTCTCACCCCCAGAGTTCACAGATGGACACCAATGTCTTGCCCAACAAAGAGACCTATTCAGAACATTGGATCGTATTTTTAGCCAGATTCTTTCTTCAGCTTCAAAAGTAGCAAGTGGGGAACGCAGCCTACATCAGCACAAGCTTTGCAGAATGACCTCATTCAGACTATGGCATCTGTTAGAAGCAGAAACAACCATTTGTGATATCAAGAGATCCTGACTTTCCCTCTTGTTCTGGCAGCCAATCCTTAGTAAACAAGGACAGGACTCTGTTTCTAAAATTGCATCTTAAAACATAGTACGCTCACTACATATATAAAAATTGGTAGATTTTAGTGCGCATGATTCTAATGTGTGATTTAAGATTTAAAGAAACTCTGCAAGTTTCCTCAGAGATTAAAATGGTTAATAAGTAAAGGCAGTTTAATTTTACATGACTTGCCTGAAACTCCTACCAATTGTTACACAATATTCCTGTACGTAATCTGCAGTGGGATGGTGATAGGTATTCTAATACACTTCAATTTCTGATGTTTGTTTCTTTGTCTCCATAATTACTGCAGGACACTGTTACAATACAAACGATGTTGTTGTGAACAGATAATGATGCTATTTTAAAAAATATTAAATGGCATTGCATTAGTTATATTTTGTATTATTTAAATTTATAGTTTAACAAGGAGCATAAATATATCTTAAGTTGACTATCAAATCCTTGTGAGCATTGGCCTTTTTCTATTTTGTTGTTTTCCAAAGGAAAAAATTAGAACTTTTCATTTCAGATTTAACACAACCATTTCTCTCTGGTAGACCTACTTGGGGAGTTATAATTTGTTTACACTTAAAAAGTCCAATATCAAATCATGATTTCATATCCTGCTGTTATACAATAATAGTTTCACTACATTATGATATTCCTTTACTTCCTATGAAGAATTGTAGTGAGCCTTAAATGTAGATACCTCTAATCTCTTCTTGGCAATAACCCCCAGACGCATACCCCTGGTGATTTTCAAATCACATATTCACAGTTAAAAATAGTGGGAATAGGAACATGGATCTTATTATACCTATTGGATTACATGTGCCATCCCTCTCCCAAGCCTTAACATTTTTGTAGGCTAGGGCAAATCAAGGGCACTATAACCTTCTTGAAGTAAACACGATTGAGTACACTTAGTGTGAGCAGTATAGAGGCCTTGACCTCCATCAGCCTGTTGATGAGATGAAATGTTTTTGGTTTCATTTGATTGTATTTACAACCTAATCTACTAAACTGCTCCCTTCTAATGGGAATTGCCAGAGGGTAGGAGTCTAGAGAGGGTGGCCAATGGATTGAGGTCAAAATGAGGTTAAACCATGTTAACACATACCAATACAACCCTCTATTGTTCTTTTTCTCTCTTGAGATTTTTTCTCCCTAAATAGCTTGTATTGTCCAGGCCAAACAACTTTACTTAGCTGTTTCCAGGAGTACTAGTGGGTGGGGTGGGGGTGGGATTCCACTGAAGAAACCAATTTAGAGCCATTAGCTTGGATTCAAGGGTGCTTTTTGTTTCTTATGGTTGACTGTTGTAATAGCTAGTTTGGGAGTTGGATTCCCAGCTTGCTCAAAAGGTCTTGTGCATTCCTTGTCACCCCTAAGAACATAAATTCAGAACTCTATAAAGAGCCTGCTTGCCAGAGTGCTATATTCCCATTCTGACATAGTTTGAAAATACCCTGTATGAATTTGGCAGACCCCTTCCAGCCATTAGAGTCTTGAATAATTCAGCTGAATGCAACTTCACTTAGAATCATGCACATGTAAATAAGTGACAAGCCTCAGAGCTCTTATTAAGATAGGAGAGAATCAGTGGTTTATGCAGTTTCCAGAATTTCATAGCATTTTTAAAAGATACCTTAAAACATATTCTTGACAACAGAAGTGGCTTGCCACTGCTTCTTCTGGGATTATTTACTTTTATTTACACATTTAGCTTTTATTTATTTATTTATTTATTCATTCATTCATTCATTTCTACCCACCTTGATTATGTTTATCATTAATTCAAGGCGGCAAACATACCTAATACTGCTTCCTCCTTCTATTTTCCCCACAATAGCAATCCTATGAGGTGATAAGACAGAGAGAGATTGACCGGCCCAAAATCACTCCTGAGTGATTGTTGAGTTTTAGTCTTGTCTCACACATGAAAGTGTGGCAAGACTAAAACTCAACAGTCTCTTGGTTTCTAGACTGGTGGCTTAATCACTAATCCAAAAAAGTGCATTAAAATTTATTTAAATTTATTAATTAAAGTATAATTGCTTAAAAACATATCTAGAACTGTATTGCAAGCAAATATTCTCCATGTCTGATTTTGGAACCCATTTTTGATGCATTTAATTTTAGTATAAATGGTAATCAGAATTGCAGTTGGCAAGTACTGGTAAGTGGAGTATTCACCGTCATGTTTCCCCTGTATTTCTAAGTTCCTCACCAATATATAATTTATCATCATTCTAAATATCTCTAATATATCGATTACATGTAAATTTACTTACATTTTGTAACAGCTTGCCCCAAGCTGATGGCCTGTGTATACGTTGAACCTACAATTTCAGGAATTTGTATGACCAAGTCATTGTTAGTTACAAAATCTTGAAGCGGTGGTTCTAAAAATCTAGGTAGCACCGATGTTAATTGTAAGAAATGCTAAACATATTTCTTCTTAATAGGAATGGGATTATGTTTATTATTAGTTAAGGGCTATCTTATTGGTTCATTATGGTAATCATTGAGACAATAAATGTTTTATGAAGAAAGATGCATTCAGTAGCATGATCCATTTCCCAGTACTTAACACAAAGCAATTGTTATTCAGGGTTCAGGTAGTGAGGCTTCTGGTAAGTTGAGATAGATCTATCATCTCTTTACTGTTGTCTTGCTTGGATTGAAGGCTACTGCATTTCAGATTATAATGTTTTGTTTTGTTTTGTTTTCAGAGAAGCAGAGTCCTTCAAGGAGCAGGGAAATGCATTTTATGCCAAAAAGGACTACAACGAAGCATACAACTACTATACAAAAGCAATAGGTGAGGATGAAAAGGAAAGGGATGGGAAGTCTGAAAACTGACTTTTGGGCACACCCATGTTTAGATCATGAAGATCTTTATTGCCTTCAGTTGGAAATGTCTCAGTTCTGGTATGTATGAACTGGCTCAGGTGGATAATTCTTTACAGCAGTCAATTCCAGCATTTTTAATGCAGAAAACAATTTACTGAATACAGAGTAAAGATTTTTCATGTATATCAGTATATCTGTCTAGGTCCGTGATGGTGAACCTATGGCACGCATGCCACAAGTGGCATGCAGAGCCATCTTTCTGGGCACACGAGCTGTCACCCGTTGCTCCTCTGGATTCCGGCAGGCCAGGCAGCTGGTCTTCATATGCGCGCAAGCGCCGGAAACCAGAAGAACAGCCGCCCGGAGGACATACATGCGCCAGGCATCTGATCTTCCGGTTTCCAGCATGTGCATGCTCACCGGCCAGCTGGTCTTTTGGATTCTGGCGCACATGCGCAAAGACCAACTGGGCGGTGCTCATGTGCACGCTGGAAACCAAAAGATCACCTTCTGGACGGCTGCACTTCTGTTTCTGGTACACGCATGCACAGTGGCCAGCTGATCTTCACGCACTCATGTGCACCGGAAACTGGCAGACCAGTTGGCCAGTGCACATGCGCACACCGGAAACCAGAAGAGGAGGTGCATGCATTTGCACCTGGCGGCTGCTCTTCTGGTTTTTGTCACGCATGCTTGTACATGTTCCCGTTTCGGCACTTTGTGCCAAAAAGGTTTGCCAACACTGGTCTAAGTTATATTCTCTGATTCATGGCTGTTCTAGAGATACAGTATGGGTCTAGAATGCAGTATATAAACAGCCTACTATAATCACAGAGATCTTTCTTAATATCAAAGTACTGATCTTTGCAGTTAAGGAAAATCTTGGGGGAAATAATCATGGCATATTTGATTGAGAAACTAAAGTAGATCTTTCATGAGTTAAGTAGTGGTTAGCCATTACCCTATTTCTCTATTAGTTGTGTTGGAAGAAATATTCATCTGGTTCAGTTCCAAGTGGGGAGAAAGACACTGGAAACATGGACGCTGATTGGAAAGAGGGTTTAATGAAGCAGAAGCATCAAGCACATGGTCCTGGTGCAGCGGACCACATGGAGTAGAGCAGGGGTGAAATTCAGCCAGTTCTACCCAGCTCGGGCAAACCAGTAGCGGCGGCTGCAGGAGGCTGCCCACTCACACGGACGTCATGACGTCCCTTTTTTGTAACAATTTTCAGCCTCTGCACATGCGCAGAAGACTTTGCCCATGCGCAGACGATGGCACACAACATTTGCGAACCGATAGGGAAGGTAAGTGAATTTCACTCCTGGAATAGAGAGTGAGGGTTATTTATACTCTCTTTGAAGCCTTGCCCTTGAGCTTCCTGTTCCTGTTGCAAGAGCATGTATTCTATTGGTTGCTGTCAGACTCCCATGGGGCTATGCAGGGGTCATAGTTGAGGTTGTCTGAGCTTCCATGTTTGGTTGAAACTTGGAGGTGATGATGTAGAGAGCCTTGGTGGCGCAGCAGACTAAAGTGCTGTTAAGTAACACCAGCTGCCTGCTATTACTGCAAGTTCAAATGTCACCAGGCTCAAGGTTGACTCAGCCTTCCATCCTTTCAAGGTAGGTAAAATGAGGACCCGGTTTGTGGGGGCAATAAGCTGACTTTGTATAAAAAAGAACACTGCTGGGGGGGTGGGGCGAAAGCCCTACTAAGCAGGTATATACAAAAGTATGAAGGCTATTGCTTAACGCATTGTAAGCCGCCCTGAGTCTCCGGAGAAGGGCGGCATATAAATTGAACCAATAAAAAATAAATAAATAAAATAATGAAGAGGCTTGTATTCTGTGGGCAATTCTTACTGTGTCTTAATGGCTCTGTCCTGGTTTGGATCTTGAGTCAGAGTTAATCATCCTGAGGCTGAAGGTCTTTTATCTTGTAAATAGGCTGGCCCAATCCTGCTGGGGCTATTAAGAAAGGTGGGGGCTGCTTTCCAAGAGCATGTTTCTCCTTTAGGGAAATATAATATTCTGCCTTTTTAATATTTCTCAAAATATTTCATTCTTCTAGGAGAGGGGAGGGTGTTAATTTGCTACAGTTGCTTTGCATTCTTTATGTTTCTGTAGCAAAGGCACAAACAAGTATTTAATGCTCTTTGCAGATCTGTGCAAACTGGCCAGTTTATTCAGCGTATCAAAATAAAAATCTTATTAGCATTATTAATATTAAATAAAATCTATTTTGTGGAGAGAAAGAGTTCAAAATCTTACAGAATAGCACGTAGCTTTCTCTTTTCGAAAATGCCTTCAAAAAGAGGCGCAATACAGAGCAAGTGAGTTCTTTTCTGCTTCTAAATTAACCAATATCTTCTTGTTTCTTATCTTCCAGATACATGTCCCAGCAATGCCAGTTATTATGGAAACCGTGCTGCCACTCTCATGATGTTAGGCAAATTTCGGGAGGCCCTGGGGGATGCTCAGCAATCAGTCAGAATGGATGATAGTTTTCTGAGGGTATGTGACTCACATGTGTAGTTCTCCTAATCTTGCATCACACTGGCATGTTTTCATAATGTTCTTATCTTCTCAGGGACATCTAAGAGAGGGAAAGTGCCACCTATCTCTGGGGAATGCCATGGCTGCCAGTCGCTGCTTCCAACGAGTTATAGAATTGGATCGTGAAAATGCACAAGCAGAGCAAGAGGTAAGGTATTGAATATGAAGTTTGGGTGATTGATCTAGTTCAGCAGCCCATGTTTGACTGATAAAAGTCTCAAGATATGTTAGACTGGGTTGTATTAATTTGGTTAACACTTCTTTTGAATACCAAATTTCAGTTTTAAATTTCGTTTTGAATATATACAGTTATTCCAGTTTTTCAGTTATACACAAGACATTAGTGAATTAAACATTTTGTCCCTTGTCCTGGCTATAAGTCTGTGAGTATAAGAAATACTGTATCTCTTCCAGTCTTTGCTTGGTGAGAAAGCTTCCTTTTCCTTTTGTATACGGAATTTCTGGATTTTCTTTAAAATCCCTCATGTTCTTACTAGAACAAAGCTTATCCTTAAACCATTTCTTAAAATGATATAATTTTGATTCTGTCAATATATGATTAGAAATTAATGTACAGAATATATGTACATGACACAAAAACATTTGAGATGTTAACAATAAGATCTACAAGATGATCCCTCCTCTGGTGTGAATTGTTCCATTTGTTCCTCCATTTGCCTTAAGTCCACAGTTAATACAATTAGCATGTGATATTAACCAGGTTTTTGAAATTATCTGAATTTATTTAAATTCTAAAAATCAACAGCTGTTGCTCAATCAGTTCTTTTACTAATGGATGGTTTTGACAGATGAAAAACACCTTCAGTTTTAACCATGTCTCAGAACTTGCTCCAGATTTTGCCCCTTTTATCTCTACAAATCAATTGTGAGTTTAACTAAGACAAAGTGTGGAAATCTTTTGGCGGCACTTATGCTTTATCTGTCAGGCTTAGTCCGACAGTTAAAAATCCCACCCCCTGTAGATTGCTCATGATATCCTAGAGGTCTGAACGCCCAGTTTGAGGACCCATGGTGTATTATTCTGACTCCTTTATATATGGGGTGTAAATGCTTATGTAAACAGTTGCTTTGTAGAGAAGTATAACTCTTACAGTCCCTCCAGCTATATGCATAACAGAGGTCAGAAATTCTGCCCACAAGTGGTATAGCATATCTTAAATATTGCCTGAATATATTCAGGGCATTAGAAATCATGTATGCTAGAAACTAGATTCTAAATCATAACATACATCCTGAAGATACCTTGGGTATAAAACTTTGTGCATCTTGTATTAGCATGTATTATTAAGATTATGTTGAAAATTGATGGTTAAATGTTGTTTATCAAAAAAGAGGTATCATTATGAAGTTCAAATAAATATGAAATTTAAAACATTAAATTAGACTCCCCAGTGTTGCTATCCCTCAGATACAGTGAGCTACTCCTATCAGAATTCTGGCTAATAGCTGATTGAGAATCCTGGGAATTCATTCAGTAGTAAAATATATCTACAGGACAACAGAATGCCTAATATCCTACAAACAGTTAATATTTCTAATCTGATATGATGCCTTCTGTTCCAGCTGAAGAGTACCAAAACTGTTCTAGACTATGAGAAAATTGCTGAAGTTGACTTTGAAAAACGGGACTTCCGAAAGGTGATAAAGATTAATTGATGTATATGTATGTGTGTGTAATAAGGTGGAGGGAGAGAGAGAGAGAAAATTATTTTGCTTAGTTGGGGCCATGAGATTCCTTCCTTACTCTCAGAATTACTTAATCTCATCCTACCTTTTCATGAATGGGAAACAGGAGGTTTGATTTTTTTTTTCAACCACAAATGTTTCAAACCTCTAAATCTCTCTGTCTTTTTTTGTCTCTCTTGAATAACAAATTTGTTTTAATTGCTCTTCAGCAAGATGGTATTGTTGCTTAGTCCCACTATTTCAATGTTAAGTCCTCTGTCTGACCTAGTGAATTCTTATTATGCTGCTTTCTAATTGCCAAGAGCAGCTGGTTCACCAGAGACAATCTGAAGTTTGTCTTAAGGAAGAAATCTGCCTTGTCTGAGATTTGAGCAAGCTCTCTCTAGGCTTCTCTGTCCCTTATGTGTTATCAAATATGTCCCTTGTTTCTGGAGAAGAAGCTCCTCCTTTTTGTGGCTCCATCATCTGGAGTGTCTCCGCACTTTCCACAGCACCCAGTGGTGATGTCACCGGTGAGAAGAGTTGGGGGAAGGGAATTAGAGAATCCAGCTGAGCCTCAAACCAACAATGCCCTCTTCATATGCAGCTAACTGAGAGACCATGAGAATACTTATTGAAGCCTGAAATTTGGGTTCATCATTTGTCATAGTAGCTGCTGCTTCATTGAAGCCACTTTTATTTTATCATTTTCTTGAGTTTCTAATGCAGTATTTAGCAATATTTCTTCAATCACAGGGCACTTAATAAACATTCAGAAAAATGACACACTTCCTACATTTTCATTTTTAAGATCACAGGAGTTAATATTTTCAGATGAATATAAAGTTGATGGCTGCCTTTGTGTATGTCTTCCCATTTTTTCCATCCTTAAATGTTTTTAAACTGAAACTTGTAGCAGAAAAATAAACTATAGGTAGTCCTCGACTTACAACCACAATGGAGCCCAAAAATTTCTGTTGTTAAGTGAGACATTTGTTAAGTGAGTTTTGCCCCATTTTATGATCTTTCTTGCTGCAGTTGTTAAATGAATTACTGTAGTTGATAAGTTAGTAACCCGGTTGTTAATGATTCTGGTCTCCCCATTGTCTTTGCTTGTTAGATGGTCATAAAAGGTAATTACCGAACCTTAGGACATAGCAAAGGTCATAAATACGAACCAGGGCTGAGGCAGTGAGCAGGCTTGTCCCAGGAACACAGAGAAGCTGTGACAGATAAACTAGTGGATTTATGCAGACTCAGTCCATACTTTAAAGAATTTTTTTCTAGCACTCATTACTTCTTTGGAAATTGTGAGAAGATACCATCCCCTATTTAGAAAAGCTCTTACCCCAGAATACAGAAGTATGCAGAACGGATACTGGTGTATTCTTAAGTCATATCTGCCCTGGTCACATAGAAGTTGGGGCAAAGGCAGTGGTGAAATTCAGCCGGTTCTATCCGGCTCAGGCGAACCGGTAGTGCCGGCGGTGGGAGACTCTGTCTGCGTCCTGCTTTTGACCCTCTGCCCATGCGCAGAAGGCTCTGCACATGCGTGGAGGAAGCTCATGCAAGCTCACATTTCCAAACCGGTAGCAAAGGTAAGTAAATTTCACCCCTGGGCAAAGGCATCTAGTTTAAAAATTGAAAGTGGCCTAGGTGAGGAGTGTGGAAGTTGATAGTAATCTATAGCTTACATTTTTTTTCTTATTCCCCCCCCACACACACACGCCAAGAGAAACATTCCCAAAGAAGAACTTCTAAATAGCAAAGATGTATCTACTATCATCTACTGTCCAAAAATGTTTTGCATTTTTACAATCACAATCCCCCTCTCCCATTTTGTGATTGTGGCATATTTGGGTTTAGGTTTATTTTGCTCCCAGAACAAGTTTCACCCAATAATTTTATTGAATAAAGACCATGTGCTTTATCTGCTAGTACTTCTGGGAATGACTACATGCATATTTTCAACCAAGCATCACTTACAAAATAAAGATATTCTTATGTTCTTCCAAGAGTAATTTATAGATGGAAAGTTATTGTTGAATACTGGAAAGGCTTCATTCATGTAATTTTCTACAGGAAAATTCTGTAGTTCAGACCTGCAGAAAAGCCTCACCTTACCTGTTTTTTGGGGGTAGATTTTCCACTCCTAGGTAGAAAAGTTTGATATCAAGTATTACATGTGAATGGCCTTAACCAGGGACTAGTAGCAGTTTAGTTACTTGAGGGGGAGGGGTATTTGTGCTTTTTAAACTTCTCTACATACCCTCATAAAAAGGTTCATAAGACTTTTGGGAGAGGCTAAGCTTTGGTATTTGAAAATTAGTACCATTTCAAAGCCTTAGGCTAACTTGCAAGAGATATGGATCCTGTCCAAAAGACCCTTTATGCAGATCTATAAGTGTACTTATTTTATAATCTATGAAATAAATCAGATTTCAGATTTATGGTGATATGTTCCTCCCTTGTCAGTATTGTCCATAGTAACCAGTAGTGTGGATATGCTGCCTCTAAACATATTGACTCTTATTTAGCTATTAAGAACAAAAGCTGCTGAGAGATACATACATTATCCATATGCTTTGTAAATTATGAGTTAAATGGAAAAGATACTAATGTTTGCCTATCCTGAATTTTGTTTCAGAGCAGAACTCCCAACTATTACAGATTATTCAAGATGCATGCCTATCTTCAGCAGGCCTAGGGTTGCCTCCAAACCAATATCTTGAGTTTTTGTTTTCTGTATTTTTTTCTCTCTCTTTTGTGTCTATTCTCTAGGTTGTCTTTTGTATGGATCGTGCTCTAGAATTTGCCCCTGCCTGTCACCGGTTCAAAATCCTCAAAGCAGAATGTTTAGCTTTGCTAGGTCGCTATTCTGAAGCCCAGTCTGTTATAAGGTAAGAACTATAACAGGTTTGATGGGAAAGCCTATATGTATAAATAATAATGTAGTTAACACTGAGGGCAATAACTCATATTCCTGATTCTAACCAAAAGACTAGAGCTCTGCTTTTGTATTATCTAGTATTGAGAAGACGCAGTGCATCCAAAACAGTTTTTATTTCTCTAAATTACAGTGGAATATATGTTTGTGTGCTTTTGGTTTTTTTCATTTTTGCAAAAACCAGAGTTTTTAAAACTACTAACTGGAATGTATTATGAAAAGAAAAGGTTGGGAAAGGAGAGAAATGAGGAATGGAAATCAAATCAACTAATGGAAAGGTCCTCAAGTAATTTGAGGAGAATCAACAAGGATATGGTTAAAGGTGCTGAGAAATAAATTCACTTCTTGTTCGGAGGTGCACAATCACAGAAAAAGAGAGAGTGAGTCATAGCTAACTTTGGCATAGCACTCTTCCCTTTCCTGTTAAGCTGAACTAACGGAAGACTCACAAAGACAGGATGAGGACAGCTTCAATCCTGCCTGAACAAGCTCACTATTCTAATCATTCTATTCTGCATCAGTTTCAGAATTTACAGCAAATTGGATAAATTGGTGTTTAGTGAAAAATGAACAACTGGGAAGCTAAAATTCCCCTACCAGTGTGCATAATTAACTAAAGCATGTATAGTTCTAAAGAGGTATCTTTGTGTCCACAAAGGTCCTGGCAGAAAAAAAAATACAATGTAATAGGAGCTTTCAAAAAATTATTATGTACACCAAACCAAAGTCATAATGTGAGATGGGCAACTATACAAATGTGATTATAAATAAAAATACTCATGGGTATAATTGTTTTGAAATTGACAGAAGGGAGCTGGAATGGAAATGGAAATGGTCCACTAGAATAAAAGGGGAAAAAAGCCAGTGTCAGGAATTAGAGAAAAGGAAATACAGTGAACAACTAGAAAGCATGCTGTCTTTGTCTGGAAACTGCAGAAGTGAGGCATCATGTATTGATTTGAAGTACTCACATATTGTTATGCTACAAGTTCTTTACAATATTGGTGTCTTGGTTTGAGAGTAAGAATGTACTGTTTCTGTCCTGTGATATTTTTTTTCCTGCTCCTGCGTTCTGTATTTAGTGACATCTTGCGAATAGATGCAACAAATGCTGATGCTCTCTATGTCCGAGGACTTTGCCTTTACTATGAGGACTGCATCGAGAAGGCTGTGCAGTTCTTCGTCCAGGCATTAAAAATGGCTCCTGACCATGATAAAGCCTGCCTTGCCTGCCGTGTAAGCATCAAAAGAAATGCTGGGGAGATGTATGGGCTTTCTGATAGGCTTGGGTGGGGGTACGGCTTTCTAAATCTTGCTGATACACAATCCCAATGTCCAATGGTGAAGGATGCTACTAGTTACAGCATCCTGGAGTTGCTAAAAATGTTTTAAATAAATACTTCAAAGATGCAGAGGTTCAACTCTTGACTTACTCGAATTTTTTCAAAGAGGTCCCAGGAATTATTTTGGAAATGCTAAACTTCATGCAATGTTCAAAATAGATGATGGTAGGTAGCAGCTAGAAATCTGCTTTTGCTATTGCATTATTAAAGCAGGTGCTAAATTGAGTATTTTCAAACTGAGTAGAGAAGAAGAAATCCTATCATCTGCATAATAATCTCTTTCCTTCCAAACATTATTATAATTGCTTCTTCAAAGTTGCTTCTGCGCAACTTTGGCAATGTATTGAGATGTGCCCAAAACACTTCTCTCCATTTGCTAGATCTTGAGATTGGGAAATGGGTAATTCTTTAATAGAAATCTTTGTGCGAGTTAGCCAACAAAGATTTGCTAAGATAGCACAAGGTTTTTTAATTACTCAAAGACTTTCATTATCTTTTGACCCACTTCTTCCTTCAGAATGCCAAAGCACTGAAAGCAAAGAAAGATGAAGGTAACAAGGCTTTCAAGGAAGGGAATTATAAGCTGGCCTTCACACTTTATACAGAGGCTCTAGCAATAGATCCAAACAACAGGAAAACCAATGCCAAACTCTACTGCAATCGTGGAACTGTTAATTCCAAAGTAAGTGCCCAAGTAGAGTCTTTTTTGTTTAGATCAGGTATCTCTCTGAAGCCTTCTAACACAGTTTAAATGTGGGAGACGTTACCTCAAATCTGTCTCCTTATTGCAATATGTAATAGAAAAGGGCTTGAAGAATCTTTTAACCTTCAATTGTAAAAGATTATGAAGGCCAGATTGGAAGAAGTCTTCTCACCACTGAAACCTGAAATAACAAAGATGAGAAATTGTTCAGAATACCAATGCCTCTATGTTTGTTTGCTTGTTTATTTAAATCCTTACAAATCTTATTGTATGTCAAAGAGTTGAACCGTAGTGGTGCAAGTAGCATTTGTTCTAGATGATCTCTAGATGTACAAGTACTGTACCTGAATGATTTGGGTTTGTCTCAAAATCAATTTGATTACTAATAAATGTGGAGGGTGGAGATAGGGTCTCTTTAATTTTTAATTCAGCTGTTGTTGTGTGATGCTGAAACTGAGTAGCACAATGTATTCTTTTTGAATTAAGTAAGCAGTATTTCTAAAAACCTGAAAAAAAATTATGAAGATTAACAGAACTGATGAAATAAGAATAAAACCAAAGAATCATTCTACAAATACCCAAGGTTAGAAAGAAAACCACTAAGCATAATTAGAGGACATTATCTTTTTTTGCCTCTTGCATTTTAAAGCTTCCAAAAATTATCAAGTAATTAACGCATTTAGTTGTTCATTTCTGCAGCACTGGGAACAGCAGGAAAAATATTATAGCTGTTGAAATCTGGCCCATAACACGCCTGACACCACTATTGTGGAAAAGAAAAAAGTCTAATTCATTTACCAATCCCAGACTGTGAATTGAATTGATAATAATAACAACAACAACAGCACAAGATCAAGGCTCAAGTGTAACTGATAATAGAGATAATTTAGATGTGGAGCAATAAGTGGACAAAAGGAAAGAAATCAGAGAACTAGATAAGGAACAAGAAGCAAGAGCTGGATTAGTTCTTGAAAAACCAACAGCCAGAGCTGAACTAGCTGAGAAAATTAAGACTCAGATAGAAAACATGGAAAGAATTTGATTACCAAAACTGAATCAAGTTAGTAAGAGAAGTTTGGCTAAATTATTGAAGAATGGGAATGAAGCTGTGCAGACTATTCCAACAGTAACATTAGATCAAACACACTAGCTAATATATGCAGCAGTAGTATGTTACTACTGAAGAATTAGGCTTGAAAATTGGAAACAATATAGCAATTAAGAAGGGAAAGCCAAAGTGGAAAATCCTTCTGGAATTAAAAATAAAGAGAAATTGATTGGATTTAAGTAATTTGAAGAATTTGAGGCAGGAAAACCTGAAGAACAAAAGAAAAAACAGAATTAGCCTCATAACAAGATATGACTTGCACAAATAAGGCCTTGGAAAATAAGGAAATTGCAGCTGTGGTTGAAGAGCTGGAACAAAAAGTTGTAGTTATTGCAGAGAAAATAAAGCGATATGATAACTGAATAATGCAGTTTTAACAAAAGTCAAAGTTTCAAGTGAACCAGCATAATTTCTATAAGACCCTTGAAAGTGGACATGGTGCTACCACAAGAGAAAAACGGAACAAAGAAAATACCCTGATATTTTGGAAGAACTTGTGGAAAAACAACAAGAAGTACAATGAATGGGAATGCAAAGTGGATAAAACAGGTTGAAAGCACTGTAAAAGTGACTAGAGTGGAAAATGTTCACATAAACAAAAGAAATATGAGATCAAAGGTAAGTGGAGAAAATATAAAGGCAATTAACACCTGGGCAATGCCTGTAATACAGTACTCAACTGGAATAATTGATTGGACTCAGCTAGAACTTGATAACTTGGATTGAAAGACAAGAAAACTAATGATAATGCACCATTTTCTGCATCCCAAAAAGTGATATTGATCTATTGTACTTGCTTAGATTTCAGGGTAGCAGAGAACTTTTACAGGTGAAACCAACTGGAAAAGGAAAAACATGGCTTAAATGACTACATTAAAAAAACAAAAGAGCTTCTGCTGAAAGAGGCAAACAAGGGAAACCTTTTGAAAACAACGATTGAAAGCAGAATATCGAAAGGAAACAATTTGAGCATCGAGTTTCTAACTGGAAAAGAAGCACAGTCAATACCTGAAGGACATTGAAGGAAAGGTTGATACAAAGCTAACATTGAGATGGTTGACATCAGGGGTGCCGAAGAAAAAAACAAGGCTTCGTTTTGGCTGCCCAAGAACAAGCTCTGCAGACCAATTCCATGAAAGCAAAAACTCAACATGTCAGTGACAACAGCAAATGTTGCTTATCAGTGGCTGCAGCAAAATCTCACAAACTGATTATCTACAATATCATAATCGAGTTGCCAAAATAATACATTCGAAGCTTTGCCAGAAGTTTGAGTTTGAATGCTGCAAAAATTAATGGGAACACCAAATTGACAAAGTTCTTGAAAATGAACAAGTCAAAATCTTGTGGGACTTTTGAATCCAAACAGACAGACATCTGGCCCACAACATACCTGATATCACTACTGTGGAAAAGAAAAAAATCTGGTTCATTGTTATGGCAATACCAGATGATACACGAATTGAAGAAAAAAAATACCTTGATCTGCAAATTGAATGTGAGCAACTACGGAGGAAGAAATCAATGATTGAACCAATAGTAATAGGAGGCCTTGGAGCAATACCCAAAGGGTTGCCTAGATACATAGAAAATTTGAACTTATCAGACCTGAATATTTTGACTTTGCAAAAAACCATCTTACTCAGAATTGCCTATATACTCAGACATTACCTTAACAGCTCTTAAGTCCTTGGTTAGAATTAACTTGAATTGTTAAGTTTTTACCAGTTGCAGACTATGAATCGAATTGAAGATTAAATCTTTAGTAGTAGTAGTAGTAGTAGTAGTAGTAGTAGTAGTAGTAATAATAATAATAATAATAATAATAATAATAATAATAATAATAATAATAATAATAATATAGTATTAAATAGAATATATGATAAGGGATCAAAAATCTAAACTTGCTTAGAAACCTGTCAAAGCAAATAAAGATTGAAGTTGAGATGTACTGCTTTCTACTCTTAGTGACTAAAAATAATGCCAAAGGGTTTAGTTCTTAATCTTTATGTTTGCCTTCCAGCTTGGAAAACTATGCGAAGCAATAGGAGACTGTACAAGTGCTATCAAACTGGACGACACATACATCAAGGCCTATTTAAGAAGAGCACAGTGGTAAGAATGGGCATCTAAATTTGGAGGGCAGGGGAATACCTGATTTAGTAATTTTAAAAAAATATTTTAGACTGAACAAAAAATAGTGGCAGGAAGATTTATCATTAGAAAGAACAATTCCAAATAATGCTAGGAAAGACTGGTCTAATAATCTAAGAAGTAGTGAAGATACAGCTCATCTTTTGAATTAGGGTGTCCTGATATCTAATATTAGCTGAGTGAATTGATTGAATTGGGAAGAATATCAAGGTAGTCCTTATTTAGCAAACTCAACTGGGGCCAACAATTTGGTCATTAAGCAATGCTTAATGTTCAGCTTTCCTTTGTTATGCAGGCCTGCCGAGATCATAAATATGAGGATTGTAGAGCATGATGGCTCACATTGTTAGGATGCTAGGTTGACAATTAGCAAGCCTGTGTTCGAGACCCAAGTGTTGCTGTGTAGTGGGGGGAGCACCCTTCATTCGCTCCAGCTCCTGCCAACCTAGCAGTTTGAAAATGAGTAATTGCGAATAGGTAATTAGATACCACTTTGGTGGGTACATGAAAAGGAGGACATGAAAAGAGCCCCCTATAATGTCACCTTTCAACACTAATGGAATGGGATAGGGCAGGATCTTTATAATTGCAAGTGGTTGCTAAATGAGGCAGTTGCTAAACTATAAAAACCAAATGTTTTCCTTTTTGAAAAATTTCTCCATGTACTTCTGCTCCCTTGTATTTACATTTGAGAAGTTTAGGATTATATTCTTGTTTCTGCTCACTTCAGATTTCATCCCAAGCCTTTAAGGTAATTAGTGTTAAAATGCACCAGATCAAAAACAATTCCATGAATTTCTGCTAGATTCAGTTGCAGTACTCTATTGATTCAGGTGATCTAGAAATCAGGTCATGTTGCTCATCATATCAAATTTGATTTTCTGTAAATCACTTTTCTATACAATACTTCCTCCCTGACTTGTTAGGCACTTAGATATTGCTTATAGCTGAAAAACGGGTTAGGAGTAGTTTCTCCTTCCCTTTAGCTCAAATCATTTTCTGATTTTTTTTCTCACTTAATTTGATGTAATTTGTAGCTTGTTTTGAGATTTATAAGGTTAATTATACTTCTGCCTAGTTACATGGACACAGAGCAGTATGAAGATGCTGTGAGAGATTATGAAAAGGTTTACCAGACAGAGAAAACTAAAGGTAAACATAGAGCATTTGCTTCTGGACTTGACTGGCCTTTTCTAATATTTATTAGATAATCTAGGCTACAACTTCTTTTACAGCAGCTAGGGATGATAGGGACACTAGTTCAGAATTGCCAAAAACCGATCTTAACTATTATTTTCAAACGGTTTTATTTTATTTATATCACACTTTTTCACTCAAGAGCTCAAGGCAGCGTGCATAGTGCTCACTCCTGTTTTTTCCCCAGCAACAGCCCTATGAGGTAGGTTTGTCTGAATGAGAGCAATTGCACAGACCTCCATGGCTAGGGCCATTCTAGAACCTGGATCATAGCAATTATATCTCATTGGTATAATTTAAGACATACTAGATCTATTGAGTCATCCTTTCAGAGATACTTACTACTTGCCCACTTCCGTGCACAACCTCCCTGACCCTTTCCATGCCTTCCTCATACTGTCTCACACCCCCATGCACCTTTCCTAACCCTTGCCACAGCACCCGTCTGCACTCATGTTCCCTCACAACCTCTCTTTCTCTCTCTCTCTCTCTCTCTCACACACACACACACACACCATTCCTATGGACTCCCTCAATCACTCCCCCATCCAGCAGCAGCCACTTAACCTACTTGGCAGCCTGGGATTTCCAACTTTCTGCCAGTTTCCCCAATGATGATCACATGACTCTGGCAGCCAAGTTTCAGTTTTACTGGAATTATAGATCCCAGGTTTTGGACACATTCTTTAAGTTAACCCATTTGAGGTGTGTTGATTCTAAAATGATTCTAAAATGATTGCCCTATGATGCACGATTTCAGTCAATTAAAGATTACAAATAGACAAACAGGAGATTATAATAGTATGTGGTTAGATCCCAGACAAACAGCTGTTGATAGCTCTATCTGCAATGAATTTATCCACTTTTAAAAATAAACTAATTTGGGAGCCATTGTCCTATCTAACGACAGCAAATCTTATCTATTGTATATTGCATCAAAATGTACTTTATTAGTTCTGAATTTCCCCTTATTTAGCCTGCTTGGAGAAGAATTGCATTCATTGTGTAATTTATTCTTGTAGCTAAAAACTTTTCCTTCTGATATATTATAGAACACAAACAGCTACTCAAGAATGCACAGATGGAATTGAAAAAGAGTAAAAGGAAAGATTATTACAAAATCCTGGGTGTGGATAAGAATGCTTCTGAAGATGAAATTAAAAAAGCATACCGGAAACGGGCCCTAATGCATCATCCAGGTAAAAAAACAACAACTCAAGACCTATTGCCCCAGTTCCACTGTTAACTCTTCAGAGATTCTTCAACTGAGGCAACTAGAATGTCACAAAAGGAATATATTTGCTAATGTAAGCTTTCTTACTAAGGGCCTCTCCCCTTTTTTAACCTTGCCCAAGTTTTGATTGGGTGAACAAAGGTGGGGTGAGAATGTAGATGTCTCAGAAGACAACATTGCTGGACTTTTGAGCCGTTACAAGAATTGTGATTATCATTGTGATAGGAGCTTAACTGGTAAATGGTAATATTCGAAGAGGTGCATTGGTTTTTTTTTTCACCAGCCAGTTTGATATTGCTACATTTTCAGTAAAGATCAAGAAGACAGAAGTGACTTGAGGACTCCTTTTTGTTTTCCTTCTGACTAAGTTGTGGAGTTCCAACTTCTCTGGAACCAAGGGTGCTCAGCCACGAGTCCCTTCAATAGGAGCAAGAGGAGAATATTCTAAAGTACTGAAGAAGATTGTTTTTCTTTTCTTGTTTAGAAAGTGGCATGATGCAATTTCAATTTTTACAGCTCTATTTAAAATGGAATAATTGCTCCATTGTCATCCTCTACAATTCTCTCAACACAGTTATGTACAATACACTGTAAAACACATAGTTTCACACCATCCTCTTATTATTGCATGGCATTTATCGAAGCACATTTAAAGAAGTCAAATACAAAATTCCTAATATTTTCACAAAAATATAATACTAGAATAAACTTTTAGACCAAAAAGTTATAAAAGTTCCAAAGGATCTAGGAAACTACAGGTAATCCTCAAGTTACGACAGTTCACTTAGTGATGGTTCAAAGTTACAACCCCCCCCCCCCAAAATACTTATGATACAGTACCAAATTTACGAACATTGCAGCACCACAACAGTCATTCAGCCTTATGACTGACCACAGAGATGCTGCAACATTCCCCTTACCTATTCCCCCCCCATCCTGTCACCAATCGTTCACTTACCTTTCAAAGATCTGCAGAGTCAGGGCCATGTTGCAGAAAAGCAGCCTTCTTCTTATACACCTACTGTCCTCTTTGCAAAAGACCTTTGATGTGGAGAACAGAGGCGTGCAAGATAGCTCCCCTGCAGGCCTCCGTTCTCTGTGATAAAAGCCTTCAGCAAAGGGGATGGAAGCCTGCAGGGATGCAAAGTCGTGCTCCCAAAGGTTTCTGCCCTCTTTCCACAAAGCTTTTCACATGAAGAACAGAGGCCTGCACAGGCAGCCTTCTCTCTTCGCGCCAAAAGCTTTTTTGCAAAGAGGATGGAAGCCTTCAGGGGCATGAGATTGTGTCCCCGCAGGCCTCCCTCCCCTTTCTTCAAGGTTCCTTCAAATTCACCGAGGCTGCCTGGCACTCCAAAAGCGGACAGGGTGTCCTGCGCAGGCAGCCTCGATGAGTCAGCCAAGCTGAGCAAGGTGGACTGGTTCCACTCTGCCTCGGCTTTCACCGCTCCAGTTTTGGAGCACCCAGGAACAGCGAAACAAACCACAGCGGAGGGGCTGGAGAGGCTTGATCATCAAGATCTTCAAAAGGTAAGTGATTCTCCACAGGCCAAGTGCCAGTCAGACACAGCAGGGGAGACGGGGGGAGAAACATGAGATATCTCAGTGGGTCAGGAGAGGCCTTGGGTGGTTGGAAGCACTAGATCCTCCCTAAGGTACCCTGAGATACCTCATGTGCAGTTAATGACCTGTGCATTCGATTAACAAATGTATTGGATAAAGCAGGGAGGGATCATTTTCATTTAACATGAGCCAATTAACAAAACCTCAGGTTACGAATGTAATTGGCAGGCTCTATTATATTAGTAACTCAAGGATTATGTGTATAGGTGTCAGGTATGCTTCCTGATCTTGATCTTGACTTGCTCCAGAGTAGAAAATGATATTGCCAATAGAATTGTTAAAAAGGAAAACAATCATTGCTGAGACTAAATCAGTATGGCTTCTGCCAAAAAACATTTGCCTCATCAGAGGATCAAAGGCTCCTATCAATGTATAAAAAAGTGAGCAAGTTTCAGTTATGGAATAACATTATGAAAGATAATAGGGCTGAAATTTAGTTGCTAAATGATGTGATACAGTGAAAAAAGAGCAAAAATGCTATGTAGCTAATAGGCTTTTCTCCTCTTTTTTTTCTCTCCTCCATCTGGCTTTGAAGAAAAATAGCTATAAGATTCTACCATGCACTGCCCTGTCACTTATGCTGTGAAGGCAGTTTTCAGTATGTTCTTTGAAGCTACGAGATTGAGGTTTTCAGTTTCCACTCAGCACCTGGAATTATCCACTTTCCTCTTGTAGCCGTGGAATCTTGCCACCAACACCAAATTCTCCACTGTTTTATTGCTGCTGTTGCTCATTAACTAATTGGAAAATTGTTTATATTCATTGGCCATGAAAAGCAAACACAGTAAGGGTAAAATAAGAGGAAAAATGGGAGATTGAAACTTGGGAGTGGATATATGCAAACTAAAGCTGTTCTAGAGGGTTTGTGGGTGAGTTCAGTACAAGTGCATACATTAATCTCTCAAAATCCATAGATCATTCTTAGTTCCTGTTACTTAGGGATTTTGGAGGGGAGGGGATCTTTCTTTCTAGTTGCAATTCCCCTGATTTTTTTGTTGTTGTTGTTGTTGTTGATAATGGAACAGGTTTTTTTTCATTCTCTCCAAGTTCTTCATTTAGAACACTGAAGAATTGTTACAATTCTCACCATACAACTGTATCCCACTTATCTTTGTTGTTTCCAAGGTACAATAGAGAGCTGACATCTTCTGCTAGAGAACATTAGAAAATGTCATATTTGTTGGAATTAACTGGAATCTACACAGATTAGAAAATGCAATAATTTTCAGATCATATGTTGTCTGCCCTAAAATATTGACACTAATTACCAGTTGCTTTGTAGGAAACAATTTGATTCGTTGGTATTAATCTTTAAAGTTCTAAATAGCTTAAAGTGTACTTGAAGAACCATCATTTCCATTGCAAACCTGTTTGGATGTTCAGATCCATATGAAAGGTGATTCAGAAAAGGCCGTATTTTCCCTGAGTAATTAGTTAAATAGAAAGGCAGGAGAAAAATCTAGTAACATAAATCTGCTTCAGTACTTAATTAATAAACTAGTAAATTAAACTTCTTTTCGTACTAAATTTGTATCACTTTGATAAACAGCTCTTTTTTCAACTGTTTATTAGAACCAATTACTGTATTCTTTCTCATTGCAGTTAGGCTTTTTTTCTGTCTCTCTCATTGTCTCATCCATCAATCTCACATCTTAATTTTTCTTGCAGATCGACATAGTGGAGCAAGTGCTGAAATCCAAAAAGAGGAAGAAAAGAAATTCAAAGAAGTTGGTGAAGCCTTTACCATTCTCTCTGATCCAAAGAAAAAGGCCCGCTATGACAGTGGCCAGGATCTAGAGGAAGATGGCATGAATATGGGAGGTAAGTGCTAAAGAGGGCTTTGCATTAGTGATCCTTTCTAAAGTGCATAGATGCATAGTTATGGAATGGGAACAAGGAAGGTCAACATATATACTGTGTTTCCCCGAAAATAAGACCCTGTCTTATATTTTTTTGAACCCTGAAATAAGCACTTGTCCTTATTGCCATGTGCTCAAAAGCCCGATTGGCTTTTTATCAGGGGATGTCTTATTTTGGGGAAAATGAGATATACTCAAAATTTTGAGAGAAGTGTTCTACATTTTTTCTGATGAAAGTTTTATAAAATGGAATTTGATTATTCATTTAATATTTAATAGCATAATCAAAAGATTTGGAGATTGATGACAAGGCAAACATGAGAAAAAAGAAAATTAATGCTGCAAAATAATATAGAAGCTTTTCAGAACTTTTATGACTGTAAATGTAAATTTAAACAAGAATTCCTTCTTACCTGCTTTTTTCTTTTCTTCACCTATACTTCTCAATAGATTTTGATGCTAATAATATCTTCAAAGCTTTCTTTGGAACACCTGGAAGTTTTAGTTTTGAAGGTGGGTCATCTTTCACACATCATATGTATATTGAAAAGGAGGAGGTCCTGTTTTTGAATGTCTGTAGGTGTCAATTGAGGCAGTGTCTGTTGAGCCTTCATTTTTGGGACAACGGGGGAACCTATTAAGTTCTGGTCTCAGGAATTCAGTGGAGGCTGTTTCATTCATTCAAAATATAGTTCCAGCAGGGGACCATAAAATATTTCACTCTCCTTATCTTAGTTCCCTCTAAAGGTGCCAAGAAATATGCTTTAGGGCTTTGTCTGCTGTGCCCAAAGCTTATGTTTTTTATGTATTGATTGATATTTTATATTTCTCAATACCCATCTCTCTCCAAGTTGGGCTCTGAATAGATTGTTGGGGGGCAATACAGTGGCTGTAAACAGCTTAGAGAGGGCTATAAAGCACTGTGAAGTGGTATATAAGTCTAAGTCGGGTCTGCAACCTTAAACACTCAAAAGAGCCATTTGGACCCATTTACCACAGAAAAGGAAACACTGGAAGTCACAAAACCTGGGTGGGCATGGCCAACTCAACGTCACTCCCATCCAATCACATGACCTGCCCCAGCCACACCTACCCAGGTTTTGTGGCTCTGGGTCTTTTCTCTGGGAAATGGGTCTCTCTCTCCCCCCCTTCTGTTTTTCTTTTTTCCTCTCTCTCTCCTTCCTTCCTTCCTTCCTTCCTTCCTTCCTTCCTTACTTACTTACTTACTTACTTTCTCTCTCTCTCCCTCATTTCCTCCCTCCAGATCATTTCTCTCTCCCTTCTCTCTCATTGGTTTCTCTTTTTCCTCTCTCATTCTCTCCCTCCATCATTTTCTCATTTCTCTCTCTTTCTTTTTCTCCCCTATTCTCTCTCTCATCTCTCTCTCTCTTCTCCCCATTTTCATGTGTGTGTGCTCCCTTTGAACCATTTCCCAAAACAGGCAAGGGTTGGGTTTTGTTTTGTTTTTTTGCTGATGTTCGTTCTTCTTCTTTGGGTGCTTTTTACCATATAATTTAAATCAAAAGTCATTTCAGATTCCCAGATAAACAAAACTCTTTCGTCCCCCTGCTGTACCTCCCTGTTGGCTGGCTGCCCTCCCTGCCCCTTGCCCTCCCCTCCCAGTCACTCCTCACGTGGCCTGAGAAGGTAAGGACAACAGTGGGGATGAAGACTCGCTCCATATTCCAGAGCAGGAGGGAAGCACCCCTGTACTTGCCTCTCATCTCGCTGGCGCTTCTTCTGGATGCTGCGTGCACCTTGTTTGCTCGGGGAGACGCGCGACTTGATCTCCGCTCTGAGACACGCCCGGCCCGGCTGCAGCTGATTTTCCACGTGCTAAATTTAAATGTGCTGCGCAAGGTGCAGCGAAAGCAGTGAGCAGGCCATGGAGGCGGCGCCCATTATCACGCAGCGCGTCAGCTGCAGCCGGGCCAGGCGTGTCTCAGAGCAGAGATCAAGTCACGTGGAGATCATCTCCCCGAGTGACCGAGGTGTACACGCAGCACCAAGAAGTGCCAGAAGACGCACCCACGAGATGAGAGGCAAGTACAGGGGCACTTCCCTCCCGCTTTGGAGTATGGAGCGAGACTCCATCCCTGCTGTCGCCCTTACCTTCTCAAATCACGCGAGGAGTGACTGGGAGGGGAGGGCGGGGGGGGGGCAGCCAGTCGACAGAGCCACAGCAGGAGGACGAAAGAGCCGCATGCAGCTCAAGAACCGCACGTTGCCGATACCCGATCTAAGTGCTACTCCTATTGCTGTGCAATGTAATATCGATAAATAAAACAACATATAAAAACCAGCATTAATTTAGGATTTAAATTTGTTAAATTATAGACTAATGACAATTAAACATCAAATGGATAAAAATCCTAAAATGATCATTTAACACTGGTTCTGACAAGGTGGAGAGTGGACCATCTCATGGGCCCTCCTGCAAGACCACAGAGTCAAGTTTGACCCCTTTGCAGAAGACCAAGAGATTAGGGGCTTTATATGCTCAATATCAGTTGTGGATTTGTTTGTTTAATCAAGGTTTGATTTGCTAAGAAACCTTACTTCCTCTCCTTGCCAGTCATTCCAAAAACGCATCTGTTCTCATAATAGTGATAAATTTTATGTTATATTTCATGCTTTTTCTGAGTGGGCTACAGAATCTGACTTTATTTAAAAGATCTCAATATTGTACCAATTGCTTTGATGGTTTGCTTCCTAATTTGCTAATCTGTACATCTATGTCTTTCAGCTTCTGGACCTGGGAATTTCTTTTTCCAGTTTGGCTAAACTGCGGAACAGATCCATTTCATCTACTGAAATCCACAGTTTCCCTGACCTGCTTCATTTAATTTCAAGTTTCATCTTCCCTTCATTGCATCTCAGCATTTCTTAGGGCTGTGGCATTTTTTCTGTTGGAAACATCAATTTTTTGTGTGTGCTTTAGAGTGTGATGAGAAAACCAGCATTTGAAGGGAAGGGAGCTTTTAAGAAATACACATTTTTATTTGGTTTATTGTTAATTTTGTATGAAAGAGAGAGAAAGAGAGAAAAATCTGTGGATTTCTCCATTAAGTAATTTTAGATTCCTAAGCTGCTGGAACTTCATTCAGGGAATCCTTACATTTTGAAAACTGGATATGCCATGCTTTTATTGGGTTCACAATGTGGGGAAAGTGAAATGAGGTTTTTTTACTTTGGTTGTATTGTACTGACTGTAGCCATATTGAAACCTTATTTCCAGAAACATTTCAGACACTTGAGAAATACAAAGAAGTTTACTGCATTATTCCCTGAGTCATTTTTGGATAAGAGTTGCCTCTTCTCAGCACTTTCTCTTAATATTCCCACAGTCTCTTTCTTTGAGGAACACTTTATGTTTCCAATTGCTAGAGTACTTCAGGAAAATGGTAAGGGCTGATTTCTTACATGGACATCCCAGTTTGATGGTGGCTTCCAGATCAACATGTACACTTGATTTCATTGAAAAGCGCATAAAGTCTGAGGTGATTGTCAGGTGTTATGAAGGGTATATATTTGTGCGTGTGTGTATGTTGTTAGATCTACAGTGCATATTTCACATTTCCACATCAACATGTGATGTCATGGTTCTTACTTGCATGTACAAGTCCACTGTAAGTGTTGGAATCTCTTAAAATTAATTGGAATCTCAAAAAGCATATTTGATGTTGAGAAGATTTTTCAGAATTCAACAATGTGTTGAAAGTTTAAAAGAAGAAATTCAGCATTATTTCAGGGGAGAGAACACTTATTAGTAGCCAGCCACATTGAAGTTCCTGATATTTTTTAAACTTTTGCTCAATATTTGTACTATACTGATAGCTACTAATCCTTAATATCATTTAAGTCCATCATTTGCTGTGGACAATTAGTTCATTCCTTTTTCCACAATAGTAAAAATCATAAGTACACTATCATTTCTAACAGTATTCCAATTGAACCACTTTATACTAGGTGCAGTTTTCACCATTTTATGATGAAACTCCTCCTTATAGACTCAGTTTTCCTCAATTCAGACCACACTGTCTGGAAGATGAGGGAAGCTGAAATCTCAGTACATCTAGCGAAATCAAATTGGGGAAGGTTAGCTTGGAAGATCAATATTCCGATGAATGAAATTGTTCAACGTAACAAAGGAGTGGTGTTTGTGTTACAAACAGGTTTTAGCAACTTTTCTATTTATGAGACCGGGGAAAAGTTAACAAAGAACCTCAAAAAGTGTAATCATTTTAAAACTATTTTTGTGCAGTGCCTGGACTTCCGCTCAATGAAATGTTAGATATTGGTCCAATATCCAATATGAAACATTGTTTCAAAAGAGGTGCAGATTATGTCCTAGGAATAATACTCTTATTTTTCAAGCTGCTCAGTTAATGGATTCTGACAAACTTTAGAAACAGCAGTTAGACTTTGTCGGCATCATTTAATAGTTCTAAATCGAGGTACTCAAAAAGTAGTTGAAGAAATGCAGTCTATTGAGAGATGGCCAGGGATTAAATGAGAAATTAAAGAGGGAAGAGGATAAACTCAAAAGCTTGCCTATTCCTGGCCAGCAAATGGTAAATACTGAATCGTTCAGGATTTCATTGCGCAGTCAATTTCTATTAGTAGAATTTATTGTATTTGGTTGAAGGCATATATTTAAAGGAGCTATTTGGTGGAATTGTGTTGTGTCCATTATCTATTAAGGGTAATGACAAACAGGATAATTCAGAAACTGGCACAAAAAGCTATGAAATCAACAATCTCCCTCTTCATCACTTTAGGTTGAAAGAAGTTAAAACAACAGCATGTTATCTTCAGAGACTGAGGTGTCAAGAATCAATCCTGGCATCCTGTGAATTTTCTACTTTTAAGATGTTCTGGCTCTTGAAATAATTTTATTTTAAAACTTCACAGAGGATTATAAGAATATTAAGAATTTCAGTGGATGGCAGCCAGGTTTTCTGATCATCTCTACACAGCTGGGAGTTGTAGTAAGATTTTTTTTTTTGTCAGATCCAAAAGTCAATGATAAAAGGTTCCTGCACCTTAAAACTGATTGCAACCTAAAAAGTGATGAATGCTGTATTACTTTGCCTTGCTACCTTTTTTTTTATTATCTACAATTCTTCTCATTGCAGTCATTAAGGATGTTCTGATATATTTGCATTATATATTAGGCCATGTATAACTTGCTTTAGAATTTCTCCACCTAATAATCATTTTATAATTTGAATTTGTTTCTTAGCTCTCAAATTTTGTTTTTTTTAAATTAGCCAAGCTATCTTTAAGAGGTACCAAAAACTATGTGTGACTGATAAGCAAAGAATTAATTATCTATCTGTCTAGGCTTGGAGTATACCTATAAAGATATACATTGTCAGAATGTTGCATTGATCATAATAAGGTGAATTGATACATTACCTTTTTGGTATTATTCTTATGGAAACTCCCTGAGAATAAAGAACAGGTATAGAGAGGGTCTTGAACATTCTTTTTACTGCTAGTTAGCTTGCCATAGAGGAAGGCATATATTGCTGGTAATGTTAAGTAATATCACTTAACCATTTAAAAGTACCACTTTATCCCAACACGTGTACACGAAATCTCTAAGCAGGGAATTAAGAGCCAAGACTTTCTCATGTAGTAATGCATGAGATAATTTCTTTGGTGATGTAGATCTAAAAGCAGCATATTTTAGGGAAACTTGCCATTTTTGCCTATTTTCCTGTACACTTGAACAGATGTTCTTGCATGCATTTTGTCCTTTGCTGTACAGATATATTTACAGGAAGACAGGTAGATTATTTCTCTTGGAATCCTTAAAGGATCCATGCCTCCTTCTTGCCTCCTATAGCTGCTTTAGAAGTGCTCTGGCTCTCTTCCTGTGCATGGCTGCTTCACTTGGGATCACCTGGAGACTCATGGAGCACTTCCAGAGCAGCATCCATGAGCATCTTTCATAAGAAGAAATGACTGGTGGCAAACTACAGTTAACATCTGTACCCGATTTCAGTCCTTTTCCTATAGACCTATGAAAATGTTCAAGCCACCTGAAGAAAGGCTGTTTGGCTAGGAATCAATAGCATACCATTCTAGACTTCTTAATAATACATCCGTTGCATGTTCTGTTTTTAAAACAGCATCCTGTCCCCTTTACTCTCTCCTGTGGATAGTTTCAGACACATGCATAGCCATGATGCCCCACTTCAATCTTTTCACTTATCTAAGGTGAAGATTATTTAAACAAAAAGTGGTGACTGTTTATTAAGCAGGATTCATAATGTGTTTATATGCAGAATTTTGAACCAGACTGAAGCAAACCCATATGCAATTGATATTAACTTTATTATAAAATGTATATGATGTACAAAAAATAAACCCTCCAGATCTCACTGGTGACTTATGCTTCTTTAAACTGAGTAGACACTGCTGAGATTGAGTGTGGAGACATGATGCTGGATTGAATAATGGGGGAGGGGGGAATCCCAAAAATCTGTAGTGATCATTGTTAAATTGTAGTTTGTTTGTTTTTTATAACAAGAAATAGACAGGAAGATTACCAATGTTAAAACAGAAGAGAACCAGAGGTTTTGATCATGTACTAGGACTGTTCAATTTCTTTTTTAAAAAGTGCTTCACAAACCACAGGTCTGTATTTGAATTATTTCTCTTGGAATCCTTAAAGGATCCATGCCTCCTTCTTGCCTCCTATAGCTGCTTTAGAAGTGCTCTGGCTCTCTTCCTGTGCATGGCTGCTTCACTTGGGATCACCTGGAGACTCATGGAGCACTTCCAGAGCAGCATCCATGAGCATCTTTCATAAGAAGAAATGACTGGTGGCAAACTACAGTTAATATCTGTACCCGATTTCAGTCCTTTTCCTATAGACCTATGAAAAAGCCCAATCTCTGCATATAATCTGAAACTTCAGGTTAGCAAAGGCTTGAGTAAAGAGTTCCATATCAATCAGCCTAATGTAAATAGTAACACAAACGTTTTCTGCATGTTAATACATTTATTTCAGTGTATTTTACAGTCACTATGAATCTTAACTACTTTGTAAAGCAGAACAAGAATTATTGTTTCAAGTTACATCAATCAAAACCATTGAAATGTGCTACTTTCTTACAGGTTTTTTAAAAAAGCTTTGACCATATTTGAGTTGTATTAAAAGTAATTTGATGTTTAAACAACAAATATTTAAGAATTGACACAAATATTTTGCAAATGCAAGTTACATTGTTTCCTGAGCAATAGCACAACCAGCTTTTTCTTGTATAGCTAAGCATTCAAGAAAAGTAAATGACCCAACCATCCATCTATCTTCCTTTATATATTTGATGTTTATAATTCCAAGTTTAAAGTGATGTATGTTTTGTAACTTACTTCATAGCTTTCATTGTATAATAGGTTAACCAGGTCCCATTTTAAACTAACTCCCATCTAGAACATATTGAATGTGAGCATATCAAAAGCATAACCAGGAATTACACAAGACAACTATTATTGTCACTGTATTCACATTGATGGTTAAAAAAAATCTGCCCTAGTCCAATGTTCTTGTCATGTTTGATTTCCTATAGTCCCAAATTAACCTGGCTTAAAATCATTCACCAAGATAATATTGATTATGAATGAACAACACTGTCATTCAGCCTAATTGAAAGGCATCAGATTTGCAAAAGCTGGCCTTGGAGATTTTTTCTCAAAACAAGGGTCATGTTCAGTGAGATTAAATCCTGTGTGTTAGAGGTAAAGGGGAGGACTAACCATAATGTTATGAATAAACGAACTCAAAAGTGGGGATTAGTTCAGGTGTCTATTGCCCAGCTTTGCAATAGATGGTATGAAAGATAGCTATAATCTAGACAACACTTTGGTTGCTAACATACTGTTTTTACAGATCCTGCTCAAAGGAAAGTAAGCGGGCTATGTGTTCAACTAGACTTACTTGGGGGAACTTAAATCAGTTGTGTACACAAAATATATGCCACTCAATAGGATGTGGTTCAGCTGAGATTAGAACATGTTCAGCTTGTCCTTATTTTTAGAGGTTTAACTCATGCCATACTGCATATAAATATGTTATAAAATAAAAAAACACATAAATTGTAAGTTTTAAAATGTTAGTTTCTTCCTTGAAGTATGCTTTGAAATGTTGCATAGTTTCAAGTGCTAGCTGCTTTGAACTTCAACTTTCACGACAGTCATTGACAGCAGGGGCAACAGTGATGCTGGCTAAAGTTGATAGAAGTTAGAATCAGTATATATAAATAACAT